ATTTATTGTTACAATTTAAGATTGCACATGTATGCCTTGTTCTTGTCAAAGTCAATAAAGAACTTGTCTAATATTAGTTCATGTAATTTTTCAAGCGTGAATGTCCATAGCCAAGATAGATGAGTGCCCCCCCCCCCCCCCCCCCCCTTACGATAATGGTAGAATATGAAGAATATGTTACCCATTCTCTTACTTTCTGTTGCAATTTTTAACATGCATGTTTTAAACAATACTAAAAAGCAACAAATATTTGATATGATTAAAATAAATCATAATGTGTGCATGTTCTTTCTCAAGAAGGTAACGGTAAAGTTTAGGTTAGACCTTATAGCCCATGTCTAGAAATGAATGTAAATGAAGTTGTCGAGTGTGTTACTTGTGAGATTAATGTATATTCTGGTATTGTGGTTTGTTATTCGGTTAGTATACAATAATCGGTCAGATACAATAATCTATCAGAATTAATTCATTATCATCCTCATTAATGCATATAAATTGCAGAGTTTCTTTTTCAAACCATATTTTTAAAAATATACACATATCTTTTATTGGAGGGGGGTGGTGTTACATTCTGATTTACTGAAAAGTATGCAAACTCATTTAGTTACGAAATGATTCTAAGCATATTTCTTTTCAATAATTTAAGCATAAATATAAAATAAGAAACGGAGGGCCATGAAAAATTAATCAAATGTTTAAAGATTTACAAGTAATAATGGTTTAAACTTTAATTTAACATTTTAAAATTTGATGACCTAATCTTAATTGTTTTTGATTTGAACACGCATTTATTGAGATATACAAAAGGATTACAAGTTCCTCATGTGAATTATAGACCGATTTCATAACGACATCCAAAGAAGAAAATGATCGAACTCTACTACAAGAGACAAATACAATTTATTCCTGGAAGCGGAATATCTTATCAATTAGCCAAAAAGTCTTCAGATATGATGCATATTTTTTTCCCGTAGTGAAACATTCGAAACTAAAACATGTAAATACATATAGTGAACGTGGTAAAAAAAAAAAATGTGGTATCCTTTAGATGAAAAAAAAAAACCTGTCGCACTCTATAAAATTCGGGTATTTAAAACGTAAACTATGACAAAGATAACTACATGTACTTTGATAGTGTAAAAGAGACAATTAAGTGCCTCTGCTTAATTGGGGTTGAACCCGAGGCCTCTGACTTACCAGTCCAGTGCTCTACAAATGAGATGAAATCTAAATTTTGCTTATTTTCTTTTACTGTTGTCTGCCATTTTCTTGCATTAAAAAAGACTTAAATTGTAATAGCTTTTAGAAGAAGAGAAGATTTTTGATTCGAGTAAAGTTTTGTTCGTTTACCCTTATCAATCATATCGGTACCCCCCCCCCCCACTCTTTTCATTTTTCAAAGGTATAGTTTACAATGTTTATATTTATCATTACGATTAAAAATCTTAATTATTGATATTTTTAAGGGAATCAAATCAAATTTTGAAAATATATATCATCAAATTATTATTTAGCTTCACGTTAGTAGTATAAGCAGCCTAGCCGGGGGGTTCAACTGAGTGCACTTTTTATGCAAATGAGGTTCAAAAATGGGTCAACTGAGTGGAGTGCTAACCCTAACCCTAACCCTAACCCTAACCCTAACCCCCCTAGCCCTAACTAACCCTAACTAACCCTAACCCTAACTAACCCTAACCCTAACTAACCCTACCCCCTAGCCCTACCTAACCCTAACCCTAACTAACCCTAACCCCCTTAGCCCTAACCCCCTAGCCCTAACTAACCCTAACCCTAACCCCCCCCCTAACTAACCCTAACCTATTCCCCTTAAATACGGGGTTGTTTACACTATACGTAGGTACTACGTTTTTTTTGCTGACTATACAGGTAAAAAATGCGCCGTGTGCAAAAAACATTGCAAGAATGTGATTATGACGTCACGCATTCACAGTCTAGCTTCATTTTTGGAAAACCTCATTTCCAAGAAACAAAAAGTGAAACTAACACAGATTTTGATTTTCAATTTTTATTCCCAATAAACAAAAGAAATTTACAAATTTAACAAAAAATACATACAACCATTTATCAGGCTTGTCTTTTAATCCAAAATACCCTCCAAATTAATCATCTAGTAGTTTTCTCCAATACACTGACCCTGTTGCATTCTTTTTTTTGATCTGGATTTTTGCATGTAGCTTCTATTTTTTAATGTCCTGCGTTTTTGTTTGAGTTTCTTCATCTCCTCCTTTGTCATTCCCTGCAAACGACGCTTGAGCTCTCGCAGGGGAAGCATCAGCAATTCCTCATCCTCCAAAGGCTCTATGGTCAGGGGTCTTTTCCTTTTAGTTTCCCTAGGTTTTTTCTCTATGTCTTTTACCATTACATAGCATGGATCCATTTGTTTCTGACTCTCTCCTGATCCGCCCTGGGTCCCTTCTTCTTTTTTCTGGTCAATGTTTCCTCCTTCTTCTTTCCTTTTTGTTGTTTTTCCCCTGAATGACTTTGTGATTGGGGATAATTGTGCACTCATGTAACAAAATCGACGGCTGTTGTAACATTTCAGTTTATCCAGCTTGTTTTCAAGAGCACTCACCTTGGTGTTCATTTTATTTACCTTGTTATCCACATCATTCATCTTGGTGTTCATATCATTCAGTTTGTTATCCAGAGCAGATAACATGTTCACAATTCCGTCTAAAGTGGTGTTTAAAATGCCCATATCTTCTTCTTTATTCATGTCCTCAATCATGTCCAAATTTAAATCCAATTCCATGGCATCCCTTATTGTCTCTGTCATGGGAGCTCCTACGTATCCTTCAGGTGTCACATAATACTGGGAATTTTCTGAAGTATTCATCCTTGCTTCTATTTCACCTGTGTTCAGTGCTCACGCAGAATGATCAAATTTGACAGTTTTTTTGCTTTATATACCTGCTATGAGCCGTGTGCAAAAATACCTAGGCTTTATATACCTGTTGCATCACCTGTAAAGAGGGCCGTGTGCAAAAACTTAGGGGCCGTGTGCAAAAATACGATAGACCTACGTTTTGTTTATGTACACAGGTAATACTTAGGGACCTTGTGCAAATATACGTTTTACATGCGTGGGCTATAAAAATGAGAATAAAAAAAAATTTTACTGTGATAGAACATAGATGCGATGGAGAAAGTATGTATTTCAATACCTGGGAAATTTCACACATAGGTTAAGAAATCAGTGACTTTTTTAATACCTAAAACCTCAAAATCTACGAATGACTAGACCCCCCACACCCCCTTGGATGCAATGAATATCATATACAAAATACTATTTTTAGAGGAGGATTTTTTACAGTTTAAGAATTTTTTTCTTTAGTTTTTAAGAAAATAAAAAATCATGTAAATATCACTGTTATGTTTATTATATGACGTCATAGATACACTCGGGTTCGGCCTTTTCCCCACTTCAATTTTGCTTTGTCACTGTGCTGGGGGTCTTTTTGATCACATGACCAAAAGCGATTTTTTTCTTTTAGCCAATCACATTTAATCACGTGATTGAATTGTTGATGTTTTGCCGCGATTGAAGAATCGTCTGCTATTGTAAATAAATACAGCCCCACCGTGGTTTCAGTGCCATTCTTTCCTGACTGATTTTCTGGTAACAGACAAAAGAAGAAGAAAGAAGAACAAGATGTCCGACCCAATTTTTCATGAGGAGCTCTACATGATTCCGGGGATTTCCATCGAGACGACTGTCATTGTGAGAAGACTTGACAATGGGGTGGAAATCTCACGATACAATATGGTCAGAGTGCAACTTGCCCAGCGGCCACAGAGCAGGACCAGAAGTACCCCCTACACCAGGATCCGAAGAAGACCAAGGCAACAATCCCGTTCGCCGCCCCCGTCATCCAGTTCTGCTGTTAGTGGTGCTGCTGCTGCTCCGGCCCCCCAGACCAGAGCCCGGAACCAGGGACGGATCCCTACCTGGGGGTTCCGGGCCCGCGTCGAGAGAATATATTGCAGTTTGTGTATGCAAGAGGACCAAGAAAATAATTACTGTTGCAGCCGGTGTCTCCAGCGGCCTTCCTGCTTGCTGTGTACGGCGCGGGTGGTTGAACAGGGGATGGGCTGCCCCCTCTGCAGGAACGGGATCCGTGTTCCCGTTCCCCTCTCCCGGAGGTCAGAGTTTCAAAGAGAAGATAGTTCTTCTTCGGATGATGATGATGACAACCAGTCGGTAGGCCACTTGGTCCAGCAGCTCCTGGCGTAGGGACCTTGAAAACAAAATTCCAGAAAAAACCAAAAAAATCAACAAAATCAACGAAAAAACCAAAAAAATCAACAAAATGCAGAAACTAACCAAAAAGTGTTTTTTAAACCCAACGGTCCTTTTAAGGACCACCCAATTGTTTCGAAAAGATGCTTTCAAATACAGCTGAAAAGAGAAACTTAATGTGTCTAAGAAAAAAAAAGATCTTTTTTTTTTCTCTAAAATACAGTCAAAGAAACGATTGTATCTTTAGAAAAAAGAGGATCTTTTTTAATACTCAAAAGAAACGTTTTGTGTATTCAATAAAGATTACCTTTTTTTGTGGGTAAAAAACAAGAAACTTGTATGTCTCAAGTTTATAACACCAGGTCACTTTTTAAAAAAATTTTATGTCTCCAAGTACGCCGTAATTTTCTATGTAAATAAGGCCGCCATTGTCGAATCTCGGCAGGATTTTACCCCAGTGAAAAAGGTTTGTAATCCATCGTGTAGGTCATTTAAAGTTGTTTCACATTGTTTATGATTGTAATTATGTTATCCCTCACCTATATGTTTAATGTCAGGTATGCTAAACGACCCATTTCTGTGTAATTTGAGAAAATGTTTTTGTCATGTGCTGAAAGTATGGCGTGCTATTCATGTTATCATTTAAAAAGTCGCTCCTCAAAATAAATCTGTCTTTTTAAAAGATACATTTTTACAAATGACATTTAATATGATTAGAGTATAGGTATCCATATATAAGAGATATTATTTTGCATTACATTTAAACATGTTTTTCTGTCCTGTTTGTCTGTCAATTGTTGCTTTACTTCCTTTGTAAAATGAGGTTAAATTGAGTATCACTGAATATTGTATGATTTTTTTTCAGGATCAGCTGAGATGTTGTTTCACTGGATTATTTAATTGGGCATATAATTGGATAATTCTGGTAAGTTTGTCTTTGTTTTGTTTACATTTATGAAGGTCATCTTTGCATTTAATCATAATTATGTAAAGTTCTGTTTTGAAAAATCAATACTGTATTTATCCTCATTTCATGTGATTTACACTTGTTTAGCCTGCATGTAACTCAGAATGCATTTAATATTTCTATGATGGGTCATTCTATGATATTGAATTTCAATCAGAAAAATATTCTCTATATTTTTGATAAAATACATGGTATCTTTTACATTTCTGTGCCTTTTGTCTCTAAATTATTGCTTTACTTACATTGTAAAATGAGGTTAATTGTGTATCACTGAATTGTATGATTTTTTCAGGATCAGCTGAGATGTTATTTCACTGGATTATTTAATGGATAGACTTATTGGGCATATAGTTGGATATCTCTGGTAAGTTTATCTTGTTTTTTATTTGTTTACATTTTCCTATGAAGGTCATCTTTGCATTTCAGCATGATTATATGGTTAATTTAATTACTGTGTAATACTTATGTGATCTGTTATCTCTAACTTACATTCATATAAGCACACCCTTATTTAACCTAAAATATATTAACACATGATTAAGGGATCTTCAGAATATTATTAAGTCCTTTTGTATAAATTATATAATTTCATAATTCATTATGTATGTTACCCATGGCCATGGAATTCAGACTTACTAAATGGTGATCAAAGAGATATTAATTAGGAATCTAATAAGAGAAAAGGAGGAAATTACAAAAGATTAATCCTAAGTTATTTACTTTTTGTTTTGATTCTAAATATGTGGGATATATGGCATACATATATTTTCATTTTCACTTTTGTTTCTTGGTAATGAGCTTTTCAAAAAATGAAGGACTACATGTTGTACTGTGATGATGCTAAAAAAGATGTATTTTTCTGTATGCAGTACTGACAGATATTAAACAAAATTGAATCTGTTGTTAATAAAAAATCTTTTAGTGACTAAATAATTAATTTGATAATCATTTTATTTGTGATATCAATACAGTAATTGTGCTTTTTTTCATTATCTAAAGATAACATGATGAATTTTTCTCATCTGGAGTTAATGTTAAAAACAATTTGTTTTGAGATTAAAAACAAACATTTTCATGAACTTTTTTTTGGCATTGTACATGTTGTATTTAAACATGCATTGTTTCACACAGTACTCTGTCATATTAACAAAATGGTTTTATTTTCTATACAGTTCTCAACCTGGAAGATATGTTTTGTTCCTAACCATCTATAATCCATTCTCTATGATGTGAAGCCTGGCTGCTGGTCTTCCTTTGGAAATACACAGTTTGTCAATCAACATAGAAACACACAAACTTGAAGGTAAAGTTTCAATGAGATACAATTGTAACTTTTATTTATTTATTTATTTTTTTTGTTACATATGCATGTTTATATTTTGGAATTGATAAGTAAATGATATATGATTTTTTAAATAAACAGGGCTTGGTGGTCATGGTCATGTTTAAACTATATTAATCTCCTTTAGAAGAAGAAGAAGAGCTCCATTTCAAGAGATATACAAAAATGCATGATCAATTTTTTAAACTAAAATGTATGAAATTCTTCTTTGCCAAATGATAGTTAACAGCTGAAGATAGCATATCATAGTTGGTAAAGATAGCAAGTTCTGACTCCAATTGCTGATGAATTCTGAATTTCCCATTTAATATTAACATTATATCACAGGGAAAGAATACTATAATGTAGCACATCAGGATGACCAGAAAAGAAATCTTAATGACCCTCTTAACTATGTATAAAGACTGTAACCTTATAACTGATGTAAGATAATCTGATTGTGTGGAAATAAAATTCCCTGGTGTTTCTTGATGACTTTATCATTTCTGATTAAATCAAATTATGAGTTTCATCTTTGTTACATTGTAATAATTCCTAAATAGGACACACACCAGAAACTCTTAAAATGATCTATACTGTTTTAACTGAGCATCAGGCTTTAACAGTACATAACTATTCCAAATGATTTTTGGACGCTTTTGTATCAAAAAGACAAAACAGTTGGTTCACAGATGTTCCAAAGAAAAACAGCCACAAAGAAATGATTTGTTATGTTCTTTGATTGAATCATGTAAAATATATTTTAAAAAGTTTACTCTAACATTTATCTTTTGCATAAATAACTTTTTGTGGAGAATTTTTCATAACTTTAAAAAAGTAGTCTTATTGTGTAATATGGTTAGCTTAAAATCTTGTAGACTTTAAAGTTTTACATGACCTGTCACACATCTTACATGTGTAACCATTTCATTTCAGGGTATTCAGCATATATTGTGGTTTTCTCTTAAATTTATTTGCTTATGTAATCAATAATTTGAGAATACTCAAATTAGGAAACGTAAGAGAGAATAGGCAAGAAAATCAGGGTAAAAAAATGTTTTTACTACGAAGGGGTTAATCTATTATTTAATATATAAGTACATTCAGTCTATACATTTCATTTGGGTATGAAATAAACTTACATTTGAGCATTTTAAGACAATTGTAAATATTACTTTAATCTGTTTTTTTTTTTAAAAAAATGACGAGATTCACTGTCAGCATGTTATTTCCTATAAAATAAAAAGAAAATTTTATTTGAGTCAGTTTTTCTTTAAATGTAAATAAGAAGCATTGGAAGTTGGGAATATTTCACAAAGTTGATTGAATATAATACTCACTAGGACAGTTGGAGTATTATGATTTTACCCTAAAGGACACCAGTTTAAATTTCAATATACAAATCATGATTAGTCATGGAGTATAAAGTTTACACTTGCCAAAAAGTAAATGGTATCTCTATTCAGGGTCAATCCAAAGGAATGAAAACAATGTTTCTTTCTATGTATCAAATTTGAAGGATTTCTTGCAATAATTTCACTGTGTTCCTGAATTTTAAAGTTTAAAAAAAAAAAAAATTATAAAATTATATCAAATTTATAAGGTTAATATTTTTTAAGTTTTGTTTTTATTAAAAAGAAAATTTGAAAGTTAAATAAAAACAAAACTTAAAAAATTTTAACCTTATAAATTTTATATAATTTTATAAATTTTTTTTTTTAAACTTTAAAATTCATGTATCCTGGACAAAAGGGTTCAACCCCCTTCCCTCTCCCTTGGATGTTGGGTGTGGCTAACTTAACACCATCCTTTTTTTCATGAAGATTAATTACACATTATAGTCACTATCTACATGAAATTTCATGAGTTATCAAGAAAAGGGATCTTCAAATGATCCTCAATTCAATGTGGATATGTAGTTTTAAAATATTGCTACTTGGAAATTTATGGATCCTTTGCCTTTAATATCCCTTATAACAAAGATTCTTTAAAATTGCGTGAGGAATTTCATGTTTTTTAAAGTTACGATAAAAGTGTTCCTTAGGTTATTTTACGGATGATAGCTAATGCTGAATAAATGTATTGATATCTAGGGATATTCAAGAGTGTATGGTGTTGAAACTTTAAATATATATTGGTCAGGCAGTTTGTCTTTGAATTCAGTTTAAAAATTTTGATCATCACAAAATTATATTTGACTGTATTAAAAGCAGTAATTTTAGATAAACAGTAAGAAGATTACACAAACACTGTAATTTCAACACTTTTGGTTTTACAAATATGAAAAAAAGTTTAAATGACTAATTATAAGGACATAAAAAACACAAGACTTACAAAATAAATATTAAAATACTCAGTCCTCAAGATTAAAAGTTATTTAAAAGATTGAAAATCTAAAAAAAGTCTGAAAACCTACAAGTCTGAAAGTCTGAATCTCAAGATTCAATATAAATTGTATTTTGAAGCATTGAAAGTCAGTATATGATTTGCTTGTAAAAACTCTCTGTAAAAATATAGGAGCACATTCACATATATATTATAGAAAGAGTAGGAGATTTTATAACTAATTTCTTACAAATTAACAAATCACTCTGATATCCTTATATTAATGAAGTTTTACTGTAGTAGGAACACAATGACTTTTAACCTGAAAAATCAATAGAGTTGTTTAGATATTCATGGACAACAATGGTATAGCAAAAATTGTGCTGATCTTTGATCTGAAAATCAAAATATATGAAGTTTGTTTAATGAACCTATCCATTGATGAATATTAACTAAACAATTGTCCAATTAAACAAGATTTCCACATCTCTTTGACCTTTTGACTAAAAACTTAATAAGGTCATTTATTTACCTTTGTTTGACTTTGATGAGTATCTTATATGTTGGATATATTAGTTGAACACTATTTAATCTGAGTAAAGAGGAAACCTGGAAAAGCTTGTATTCCTTTTGTATGAACAAATGAATTGATGTCATGCAGATAATCAAAATATCAGAACAATCTGATGAATAAAAAGTTCTCATTATACTAGTCAGAAACCATTATAGTCTTCCTACCAAAGACAAAAATATGTCAACTCAACAAAGTAAGGTTCCTTTTCTTCAAAAAAGTAAAATTCTGATGGATTGGGTGAGTATTACTTTATACCTAATAAAAGAATTTTTTTTTTCCTCCATTTAAAACTGTATGAAACTGTTTATATAATTAAATCAATCTTATTTCTTTCATGTCATAGTAACCATCATTCATAATATGTACAATTCTAATAGATGAATTCACATTTCTTTTTTTAAAATTTGTATTAAAACATTAAAATATTTTGAGGGATAACTCTCTGTTCATGTTAATTTCTGGTGTATACCTTCTATCATTTGACATAACTCATTTGCTTTGATTGCCTAAATCAGAGCTATTCATACATAGAAAGAGGACCAAAAAATTAAAAAATTTAAAAAATTTAAAAGTTTTAAAAGAGTTATAAGTTTTAAAAATGTTATAAAAAATTTATAAGTTAAAGTGAATTTTTTAAAAAAAAATTATAAGTTTTTCAAAAAAAGTTAAAACATTTTAAAATGTGTGTTTGGATGTGAATTTATTTTTTAAAAAGAGGGAAATTATTATTAAAAGTTTTAAAAAATATAAGTTTTTAAAAGTGACCTGGTGTTATAACTTGAGACACACATTTCGTTTCTCTTTTCAACTGTATTTGAAAGCATCTTTTCGAAAAATTTGGTGGCTCTTAAAAGAGCCGTTTGGTTGATTTTTTTTAGACAGGGTTTACTCCCTGTGTCCCCTGCCTCGTCCCCGGAACTCTGGGCGGTCAGATAGGGGCCTCCTCACCGCAGGCAAGGCTAGTCTGGTGGGGGGTCTCAAGGGCCGTGGTGCTCGCATTCCTCGGACCCCGCGGGTGGCCACGTTCCTCGCCATGGGTGGTCTGGGTTCTCTCCGCCGGCAGAGGGGGCAGCAGCCTAGGGGTGGGGCCTGGAGAACCAACACCTCCGAGCACCGGTAACAGGCGGGCCTGTTCCGGCACTCGCAGCACACGTAGTTGGAGGGCTGGTCCTCCTCCAAACAGATGCTGCATCTGATCCTGGCCTCTGGCAGCTGAATGGCCCAGACTGGCACGGGTCCCCTCGGAGCTGGTACTGGGGGTGCTGCTTCCTCCGGTGCCCAGTCGTCCGTCACCAAATCGTCCGGGGACCAAGTAGGTGATGGAGGTCGGCGAGGGGGGGACGGGCTCCTGGGACTCTCCGCTGGCGGACTGGCAGGACCCAGGGTGGCGAAGCGTAATCGGGACAGCTCCCGGCCGGTCGCTGCATCCCTCACAATCCACACTGCCTCCAAGTAGATGTCTGCCATGGTGAAATACCTAGGAAGATCAGCCATTGTAAACGTAGATGCTGCTACTAACGAATGACACCGACTACTGGAGAGCGTCTGTATTTATGCACAAGTGACGGACGTTAAAGAGAGCACCTGGATGGCGAGAGCCGAAATCTCATGGCGAACCGAAATTGTGTGTGTTTTGTACTTTGAGACTTACGTATTTTCATGGATTATTTAGTAGGTGTTCATAGTAGGATTTCAGCAGGATACAGGTCTGAACAAGATAAGTGTCCTGCTTCTTTTCATACTAGAATGGATACATGACAGGCATCCGTCGTGGAGAAATGAGTAAAAAACCTCGAAGCGACGAGGTGAAATCCAGTGACCCGAGTGTATAAAATAAGCCTTTTCAGTCTTTTTAGAGGGTGAGACCCGGAAAACTCATGTGGGTTAGGGAGAAGGGACCTAGGAAAGAGTGTTAATATAATTTTTATTTCAAAAGAATCATGATCAGGATAAAAAACAAGCTCAAATAGGTTTACCTATAGACACAACGAGGGGTCAGAGGTCACGGATGTTCAGAAAATCATACTATGAGATACATAAGGATTCTTAGAATCTACCCTTTATCTGAATGATATTTTAAGAAAAATAACATGTGATGAGGTTCAAAATCATTCGTATTTACTTTTTAGAGCCTTTACAAGTCATGATCGTTTGTTTATTTACCAAAATCGAACACTGTAGTGACACTGGGGTGTAAACAACGTAGGACCTACACATTCCCTGATTTTTTAAGTCACCCGATGTTTTATGAAAGAAAATTTGACATGAAAAGATTCGTATTGCTTTGAAAATCATTCGTATTTACTTTTTAGATCATGATTCACTCTAGATTTTTTTATGTTT